TAGTGTTATATCAGATATTACCATATTAAATGATACATTTTGCTTTTTTCAAATATTTGATCTGCATGGTAAAAGTAAAAGCTCAAGCATGGGAATTATGGTCTTGTTAAGATGGTAGCTTCTAGTATATTTAGAAGAGAACATCTGGGGAGAAGGACGAAAAGTGTTTTGATTTCCCATCTGCAACCACTGACAGGTTGCTCCACAGGGCTGAGGAAAAGAACTGAGAGAGTTTATACTCTGATGAGGTGCCAAGCCTTGACATGGAGCCAACAGACAAGGGAGAAGTAATGAGAGCTCTTTAACACCAAAGCACTTCAGTGACTGTTCCAGAGTGTGGATGGACAAGCAGCTGGATCTTTGAAAAGATTTTCAGAGACAAATTCCTATGCCTGTAGAGCAATTCTAAAAAGAAGGGAAAATGTCAAATGAACTATCTTTAGTTTTCTATTATGATTTAAAGATATATATATATATATATATATATATATATATATATATATATATAGGAAAATAGCAATGGAGCTAGCAAAGAGATAATAGAAGACAACTATAGGATTTCAAATAAGACAGATATGGTTTGTAGACTTGTATAATTTAGTGATTTTGGAGAGTTAATTCACTTTTGTGATCTACACTTTTCCTATAGAAGAGACAGTTTTGGTGACAAGCTAAGACAGAAATACAATACAACCTTATTGATTTACTGAAAATATCATGAAATAGTATTGTCTCCTTCTCCCTTGAAACATCTTCCCTTAACTTCTGAAATACTTTTATAGACGAATCATGAGGATTGAGTGAACTAATGTATCTACATGATATATCAGTAGTTATGAAGCAATCATTCAGTACTGCTGTGTTCCTTAAGAGCTGTTTTAGAAAGTGGAAGATTTTATCAATTATTTAAACATGTTAAAAGACCTACCACAAGTGTGATAACATGGAAAGAATATTGAACTATTTGGTCTATTTGGTCTCTGGACTTATCAAACTTGTGATGGCAAGGGAGATCTATATTGAACTCCCTGTAACAAGGTATTTATTATCTGGTAGACAGGTACTGATAATAGTTAAAGGATCCAGAGAGATAACTTCTGTTCTTCAAAAGGGATGGCTGAGCAATTGAGTGATTAAGGCTGAGTCCAGTGACTCAGGTATTTAATTGGCAGAATTCAGAGAGTTCAAAACTGATGGCTAAAATATAGTGTTATTTTAAAAATTAAAATTAGGTTTTTTATTATTTTAGAAATGGGGTATGCTAACTTGTGTAACATTAAAATTTAGACTTAGGGCTATGAATTTTAGGTACTAATACCTTTGGGTAATTTGGGAGGAATAGGGTAATTCCAAGTGAAAAAAAATTAAATTGCTAAGATCTGGAAAAAATACAGGTCCTCATAGGTTGAATGCTTACCTCTAAACTGTACAGTGGATAATGTGGATACAACCACTCTGAAAAAATAAGACTTTCAGAATGTCATTCTACCTTAGTGGACAAAGGTATTAAAAATCAAGACAAATCATATATGTAAAGGTACTGGTAAACCTGGTCTGATTTCTGCTTATTGATTCATCTTTAATTATGAAGATCATGGAAACTTTATATATTTTTAAATTAAAATATATTCAAGAAATTTAATGCAATTGTGTATAATTTATAAACTCTTGGTAAAATGATGAAGAAAATTTTTTTTGCTTTTTCTCAGCTATTAAATAATCTTTTTAATGAAAGAAGACTAAATTGCTCTAAATATTTGCCTTTATTTGCTTTCCTGGAAAGATTTGGAAGCATTAGTTTTGGAGAGCTGAAAGTAATGGAGTAACTTAGGGACTTATCCTCTGCATTATTTTCCCCACTTTTAGGGCTTTTACTATCAGTAATTTCTCTTTAGTTATGCCTTTGTCTTTGTTTCTGAATCATGTAACTTATGCTTTCATGTTTTCCGGTATAAATTTGGCCTACTAATCCATGACAGGAACCATCTGATCGAAATCAGTCCCCAGATACCTCGAATAACATGACTCTAATTTGAGAATCAGTTTTGAGACCACAAACTTGATTTTGGGTCAAAAACATGGTACCCTCAATCAGAAGGTTGAACCAAACATCCTCATTGCTGGAAAATACAGTGGACTCACCAAATATCAACCAGGTTAAATGGAAGCAGGCATAGAGTGGTGGAATGAGCATAGGTTTTGAAATCAGAAAGACCTCTGCACAGAGCTCAATTGTCATATTTATTAGCTAAATTACCTTTGGCTAGTTTGTCAATATTCCTGAAATAAAGATTAAGTGAAATTAAAACTAAGTGTCCTAATTTACTAAATAGTAAGTGTACTAAGAAACTAGGCATTTTATCTTTTAAGGACATGGTACCATACAATGGTTGCTGGTTCAAAATAAATATCAAATCTTATAAGACAGTGTTGCAGCACTATTGGGTATTCCCAGCTAGTGCTTTGCAGAGTTTATTCCAGTATTCTACTAATCTAACACCTTCTGCATGATAAATATATAGTGGGCTCCATGAATTCCATGGTCACATGGCTTGAGCAATGAGACTGCTCACATTGCAGTTTGAATCTATTCCAGAGCCTCCTCTTGCCCTGTGCATCACTCAAAACCACAGTTGGAAGTCAGACTGGTGTGCACTGACACCATTGTTTTTTAACTTTCTATTGCAGTAAAAGTACATATTAAAAAAAAAATTGCAGAATTTAGAAGTGAAGTACTTGATGAGTTTTCATAAAGTAAACACACCCTAATAGAGGTAAGATTTTGCATGATGATTCTAAAAACTAATGATAATTTCATAAACCAAAAATGCTTCAACCCTGTTGTTGTATGACTCCCGAGTACCTGGATTTTAGAAATTCTTTAGACCAATTCAATCCAACCATAAATTTGTTCCCTCTCCCAATACAAAATATCTAATAAGTTCAGGTGGATTTATAAATTTTAGTTCTCTTCTTTATATTATAGTGAAATTCTACATATATAAATAAATAATATCTCTTTCTGTCATTTTTTGTGAGGATAATCTCACTTTCACAGCTCCGCCAGCTCAGTGGATGAGGGAACATATGCTTCTCCATATGCCCATCACAGACTCCTCAATGCATTCATTACTCAGAGCTTGGTGATTGAGGAATGTTTGTAATATTTTATTTTTTCTCACAGTGAGTCATTCTACTGTACATTTCAAAATCTGTGATAAGTTGAAAGATCCAAGAATTGAGGTATGTTTCAACAAACAGCTTCCCATCTGGTAAAAGGGAGGTTTTATTTATAACCAGGTATTCAAATACAGTAGTATGAAATGACATTCAAATTATTTTGTTTTATTACATGTTTCAAGGACTGAACAAAAACACTAACCTCCTCCAATCCATTCTCCACAATTTCAGCCAGATCAGAAAACACCTCTATCTGTAAGTCTCCAGCAGTTCCAAATTCCCCAAGTTGGCTAATGAGGCTTCTGCCTCCTTCAGACTTTCTTTCAAATATCCCCCCTTTTTCCTGCACTCCATCATTCTGGGCCTTTCTCAATTCATTCACTGTATCCATAAATCAGCACTCAATTCATGCAGAACATATAGGTAGGATTAAGATAAGTAAAGGATTATGAGGAGTTCCTTGCATGGGTGGTAGCCCAGGTAGACTTGTGTGGACACAAAGGCACAGAGGCAGGACAGATGATACCAGCTAGAACTATCCCTGCTACCTGTGCTCCAGGAAGCACTGCCTGTCACAGTGGTTCTCAAATCATCATGTTAGGAGATCAGAATCTCTTGGAGATAGCTTGTTAAAACACAGATTTCTGGGTCTCAGCCCTAGAAATTTTGATGAAATGAAGCCCTGTGTTGTATTTTTACTAGCTTCTCAGGTGATCTTGATGCTGTTGGGTTAGGGCCCAAACTTTGAAAACCTCTGATCCAGATTGTATTGATAACTCGATGGTTTACCACTCAGTAAATTCCATCTGGACATGATGCTACAAGTGGTCTCTCTCTCAGCAATGTCTTTTTGTTCTGCCTTTTTCAAAAACTTTGAAGCATATGGGTCTTCCATTCATTCCTTTACATTGCTCAGTGACACCTTTCTTTTCCAGTGCTACCCTGTTCCTACAATTCTGAATTCTACACCACATCAAGCTTGGTCACTTACTGACTTTTTTTCTTGTTGTATTTATAAAACTGTTTCAGATGTTATGATCTTTAGCCAATCCAAACTTTGAGATTTTGGAAGGAAAACTGAATAATGTTATCAGTTCCAGTTCCTACTTTACTTATCTCCTGTTGATTTATTGGTAAATTTAAGTGGTGATGTGAGAGATCTGATTTTGATTTTTCTCTTCAACCCTGATAGTTTCCCAAGTAGAAGATTATTTGCCTTGGAATTATTTCTCTTTGATGAAATGATGACCCAAGTAGGTAGCAGTGTGACTGTTAGGGTGGTTCTGATAATTGCATGTTGATTTAAGGCTCTACATATATTGAATAATTAGATTACTGTTGACCCTTGACAGAAGCTTTCAATTCCTTTAGTTTTATCAGCAATCATAGTGGCAAATTACAAAGTAGCCAAAACCCATTGTAACTTCCTTACATGAATAATAAAAGGTGTTAATAGCACATAGTAGGCACTCATATATTTGCTGAATGAACACATAAATTCATTCAAAATAAATGCACAAATGATTTTTATTTGCTGCATGAAACTAAAACAGACATAGCTCTGTGAAATACAGGCATGGTTATTTTGTATCAGTTTTAAATTTGGCAGGCTACCAAATGTTAATTTACTTTTAGCTAGTTGAGATTAAATGTAATTCCTTCCCTACGCAACCTTAAAGTAAGCAAGCATGAAAGCATTTTCAGAGTAATCTGAGAGGAATTGACATTTAAAGGAGTTAACATTACATCTGTACTTTAAGGCTATTAATTTCATAGATAAATTAACTTCATTACTCCATCTTTATCTTGCATTTTGAAAGGACTCCATCAGCTGGACGAATGACACCGGAGGGTCAATTGAAACTGCTCTTATCCCAGCCAGGTTGTAATTGGAAACTGCTTCTGGAAACCCTGCTGCATCATGATGCTCTTTTACTGAGGATCTTGCTGAAGAGCTCAAGTGAGTATTTGAAGTTATAAAAATGTCCTTAAAAAGCCCAGTCATTGCTTGAGTTGAAAAAAAATTTTTTTTTCACTTGAATGTTGATAGAAGGCTGTAAACCAACTGCAGTGCACTAACAATCCATGGGGTTAGCAGCAGAGAAAATACTGAATTACTTCATAAACCTACTGGAAATGACTTTTTTTTTCAGGAACTCAGAATGAGGAAAAACAATATTTTTAAAGATTTATTTTATTTATTTATGCATACAAGAACCGGGTGTAGGCCAGAGGTATGGGGTGGGTGGGAGGAGTTGTGAGAAGTTTTACCACAAACAGAGTGGGGAGCAGAACCGGTGAATCCATTGAAATACACTGCTGAGGGGAGCAGCGGCTGGGACAAGAGAGGTCTGCTGTGCCATGTGGGTTAACTCCCTGCTTGGGAATCCAACTAGTGCTGCAGGGGCTACTCATAGCTTCATAGTGCTGAGACTTAACCCCTTGTGCTACCAGAGAGGCCCGAAAAACAATATTTTTTTATGATACTGATGGAGGACCAGAGTAGAAAGACTGGAAAGGAGGTGCCCCAAGAACCAGAACCTGACCCTCGAGGAGGTGGGGGTAGAGGGAAATAACATGACCATTAACCTAGCTGTAGAGGTCATGACCCTTAGGCACCAGTGCCTTATCACAAGGCATAAGACCCAAGCAGGATCAGACTGCTCTAGAGAGTGGAGCACAGGCCTGACGGTAAAGATATGGAGATTGGGTCCATCCTGGAATCTCTGGTCCCTTCCTGGTTTTGCGTAGTTGTCCAAAATTGGCAAAAATCTAACAATCTGGCCACTCACAAAGATGAGCCCCTCCTCACCAAAAGAAGAGGATAAAACTCACACTGCCCCCACTAAGGGGCAACTCTTCCTGCCTACTTGTGTCTATGCAAGTGTCTTTTACTGTCCTATCCCTTTTCTAATAAAGCTGCTCTTTAAATATCACTACTGACTCTGTCTCATGGAGAAACTAGCTGTGTGCCTCCGAAAGGGGAGCTCTGGTAAAGCCTTTCCCAGAGTGAACCCAAGGACTCCACACTCCAAAAACCTCATCAATACAACCCTATCATATCTATATTATATAGAAATGTTATCAATATTCAGATTTAAAAGCCTAAGAAAATTATAGAAACAAAATTAACACAGTTCTATGATCAGAAGTCTCAACAGAGAGAGAGAGAGAAGGGGGGAGAGAGAGAGAGAGAACACTAAAGCCACAGTAGAAATGACAGTGAGTCATAAGAATACTTACGTAACTTATAGACTAGCAAGCTGTGGTTTATGACCATATCCACTGGGGCATGGAGAAGTAATCATGAGAAAATTGTGAGTGGAAATGAAGGAGTAATGGAAGACCATGTTTCTCTTAATTAGACTTTCTTTTTCCCCCCTGAAAGTGCTATTACAGCAAATGGTAAGTAATGCTATGCCAATTTAATATCATATCCCAGTGTTCTGATTCATCATTGAAGTTTTCTAGCCATTTTTCACATACCCCTAACATATATCTTCTTCTATTTTATACCTCTCATGAGGCCATATTAATCTAATCTATCACAAATTCGCTACAGATTTTTTGATGAAAATATTTTCTCTAAGTCCCCAATCACCTGCAGCACCAAATTCATGTCCCTAGGCCATTCAAATATGACCCCAGGTTAGTTTTCTAATCTTCCCCCACCTTGTATATGCTCCCCATTTCAACCATTTCCCCTAAGCCCCATGCTTCTTCCACACCGTGGCTCACCCATTTTTCCTACTTGAAAGATCCTCCATAGACGAGGACTTGGCATCCACCAATCTGCAAGGATTGGTTTATGTGCCAATCTTTAAACACTCTAGCTCATACTCATCTCTCCTCTTCTGAACTTTACAGTGGCTGCTATCTTGGCTACATCTATGCCATTAGCATACTGTACCTTATTTTGTTAGTACATTTGTATATGAATAAGGCAAATAGCAAGAGTCCCTAAAAGCCTCTTTGTATTCAAATAAGGCTCATAGCAGTCCCCTGCTCATAGCAGTTTAAATCTCTGTAGTGGCAGGAGGGCACAGGGCAGTTTTTCTGTGAACTGAGCAGAAGGCAGACCAGTGAAGGAGGAGAATCCTAGGAGGCCTCCATGGCTTTTTCAGACTTTATTTGGGATTTTACCAGGTACAAGGTGAGCAGGGGTGCGGACAGTGGGGGCAGGGTGTGGAGAGGGACCGGGAGGCTGGTAGGCCTCCCAGCTCCCGGCGAATCTTCACTCTTCCTGGGCTCTTGGGCATTCTCTAATGGTCTCGCTTTTTCTTTTCTTCTGATAGTTTTGTTGTGCTCTTCCTATGACACTGCCTTTATAAGCCCAGTCTCAGCCCAGGTGTACCCACCTACGCATGCCCACACCCCATTCCAGGTGCCCGCCATCAGGCATGCATTCAGGATGGCAGGGATCCATCATCAATCCTAATGGCGGGAGAGCAGAAAAGCCTGACAATTAGTTACCCTACAATTGCTCCAGTCACTTTTGGAAAGTTTTGGTTTCTCAGATTTTTTGCACAAAATTCCGCCATATTCTCTTCCATCTACCTTGAAGTTTGCTTCCCAAAACCAACTGTTAGGTGACACATTGCTGAGTATCTTGTGAGAATATTGTTTCTTCCCTAGTACTTTAAAGTCCATAAAATCTTGGAGTGCCAGAGGTTATTACTACTCTTTTAACCTCACTGGAATACCAAATAGAAGTTAGAGATCACCTTTGTCCCAAACCCTGAATCTCATTTTATGCCCAAGCAATACTGTTAGGGCATCACAGCTCAGAAAGTTCGTCTGAAAGCAATTTCTTTAGCTCTAGGCAGTAACTCCACTCCCCTAAACGGAAAACTGCTGCTAGGGAGACTACTTCCTGGAGTAGCAACACTTAATGCTTACTTATTAGGTGTAAGGCACTGTGCTAAGCGCTTTGTATTTGTTATCTAATCTGATTCTTTTTATAATCATATAGATTATATATTATTGTTGTCCTGGAATCTCTAGGGAGACTACTTCCTGGAGTAGCAACACTTAATGCTTACTTATTAGGTGTAAGGCACTGTGCTAAGCACTTTGTATTTGTTATCTAATCTGATTCTTTTTATAATCATATAGATTATGTATTATTGTTGTCCTCATGTTAAAACTAATGAAATTGTTGTTTAAGATGATGTTACCTACCCTGAGATGGTGGGTAGACCTAGATTCTGAACCCAGCCAGAGCTTTGTCCTCTTCCCTTCCTGTAAAAATATTCATGTAAATTAAATCCTGGAATGGCCTGGGTGGAGGGGTGTCTGGAGAACTGTGATCTATTGAGTAGGATCAACCAGGACTCCCTGATGCACATGCATTTAGCAGGTCTTTCAGCTAGGTAGTTAGAGCTGATCATGGATTTTATATTTCTAACCAAGCTACTGTTGGGGGACCAGTATGTCCTGAATGGACTCCACCCACTAATGTTTTATGAACTCCATCCCCACCTCTTTGCTAAAGGACTGCAACCCCCATCATGCCATGGGGTCTGCTATTACCCTTGACTTCTTGAAAGAGTGATTGCTGAGAACTAAGGGTGGAGTTAAGTAGCCATGCTTAATAGAAAATGAAAGGGCAGGTGGGTTGCAGAGGCTTGTTTTACCTGCCTTCAGCATGGGTCGCAGTCCCAACTCACACAGTGTTACTGGTAGGATGATCAATTAATGGTTCTATCTCTCTCTCTTTCTCACTCTCTGTCTCTTTCAAGTGTCTCCTTCCATGTTCCCAATTTTCTGGTGCAAGTCCACAGTGGAGAAGCAAAAGCTCTTATTCACATGTCTCTGTGGTTCACATGCCTCCTCCAAATCTTTTCTTGGTTATCTTCCTCCCAGTTTTTTCCAGCTTCTCCTAGCCACTCAGATCCACCCTTCCAGGTGGCACAGGGAACCTAGGAACACCCCCCCGCCTTCTGTGACTATCATATGCTATAATAGCGCTTTTTACTAAAAGTTCAATGATGGACCAATCAATAATCAGTTAGTATATTAAAATAGGGAACTACCCTTAATTTTTATAATCTGAGTTTCAGGCAAGGTACCTACATGACATAGATAGTATCTGACAGGGCTGAAGAGTTGCTCTAATATCACTGACACTCATAATAGACAGGGTCCTGTAAGAAAAATGGTTCTTCTATTGATAGAGGTATGTAAAAGAGCCTAGAAAATCAATTGAGATCAAACCATTTGTACTTAATAGCCACTAAGTACAGGAAGAACAAATGTAGTTTTAAGTATTTAAGCATATTCTTAGATATAGGTCTCTGATTTACTCATGAAAAGTACTATATCTACCTTCTGGAATGGGAAACAGAATATGTTTTTGAAAGACTTAGAGTTATGAAAGGTTCTATATTATTTTATTATGGAGTGCAGAAGTATATTTCCAACCTGCTCAAAGACTGTTGATCAAGGTTGCATCTCGTACAATCTTGTATTGAACTTTATTTGCTACTTCAAATACCATTAGGATGAAGTGACAGACTTTACTAATCAATTGAATGGCCAATTTATTAAGCTCCAGTAGAAAGCTTGTCACCTTAAGTTAGAAACAGTATACTCAGGGAATCTTATTAACTACACTAAAATGGAAATTATTATCTACATAAAATATTTTTAATAATTTTTGCTTATTTTTCATTTGAAGTCTCAGATTATTTCAGAATAGCTGTAATTAATTGGATCACTTCTTTAGGAAAAGGTATTTTTAGTGTGCATATGCTGAATTAGTATTTTAAGCAACAGAACTGGTTTTTATGGAATAGTTTTTCTTTATAAATAGTGTCATTTTTGGCTAATTGATACAATTATTTAATTTACTTTTTTATTGACATAATGTTGGCTTACAATGTAGTTTGTATCTTGAGAGTTTAGGATCCCCCTCTTCATGTATTATTACCATAGTTCACCCACCACCAAAGCACCTGT